GGGAAAGAGAATTGATATGCTGGAATATAATTTTACCTGGTGTTGAATTTATCCTTAAATTTGTGACTAGCACCTTTCCAAAAATAATAACATAGCAATTTGTGCATAGCTGCTTTCCATTTATAGCAATCCAACAATCAATAGGCATTTGAATTCCATTTCTAATGTCTAGTTAATTATAGATTCTATAATTAAAAGTTGATTTTAAGATTTGTTTCTTTCCTAAATAATTGTCTCTCCACTTATTTATGTATGCTATCCTTTTTTACACAAAACAAGTAAAGAGAATTCAATCAAAATATCTCATCTTCTACTGGCATCACTCAATTATTCAAGATGATATTAGAGCCATCAAGATTTTACTCACCATGAGGTCACAAATCCTTCAAAATTGAACCTCTCCTTCAATACGAAGAATCATTTACAACATTGAAAGCATTTTTCATCCAACAAGAGTGGCAAAAACATATGTTAAAGATCCGCGTAGAATGAAGTCAATAACTCCAATAAAAAAGGCTAATGATCAAGAAGTCGACAACTCCTTTGCTAAAATAGACCTCAAAATAAAAAATATTAATAGCCAAAATATCGAAAGCATAATAAATATTCAACTAAAGAATCAACAATAAAAATAAATCACAACAATTTTTCTACAACAAGTACCAAGAAAACAAGTGGAAGGCAACTAGCTATTCTCCTAAACATAATATAATTTTAGACAATAAGCTTGACAATTACAAAAGATAAATTCTCACATGCCCTCATTTCAAACACTTGGAAGCATCAAATCATATGATGGAAGATAAAAAGCCTTTCAAAATTAGAACACATGCCATGAAACTTATAACTTTTGAATTACATGAGTTACAATAAAAAATGGTCATAACAGTTTATTCTCTCAAAAACCTGATATTTGACTCTATGCTTCTAGTATTTAATCTACACTGCAAGTTATTATTAATCAAAAATTAAAAATTGTGTTTTCTATTCCTCATATGATACGTCACCTTTAAGCCTTAAACATGAGGAGGATGATTAGTAATGCAGAGATGTGTTCAAAATTCCACCTTCTAAAGAATAATCTCCTAAGGCATAAGACATTCAATATAAAATCTATCATCCAGCTAAGCACACTCGTAATTCCTATACTGGTCAAACATACAAATCATCCTAAAATTATATTTTATTCCATAATGATGTGTAAGCACAACCTAGATCTAAAATGTGACCGCTTTAAAATAATCCATTTTGAACACTAATAATAACCGGTGGAGCTTAAAAAAACTGACAAAAGGTTTTTTTTAATATTTTTTTTTACTGCATTCTAACAAATTGGATTAGAAAAGGTTGTATGTAAGAAAATAGAAGAAGAAATTATTGCAAACTAGACACATAGCTATAACCTAGGGGTGCAAACGGCAATCAGTTTGGTTTGATTAATTAATTAAGCTCCATCTCGAGCTTAATTCTATAAAGTACAGGAACCAGGCTTTTATTATAAAAAGAAACAAATATATTAATTCAAATTAATGTTATAATAAAATGATAAATAGAACGGACAATTAGTAGATAAACAATAAGAAATCCCTTAATGATAAAATATAAAATATACACTTTTAACTAATTTATAAAAAAAATCTTAAATTTTAATATATATTATATATTTTTAAAGCAGCCAGCTAACGAGCCAAGAAGTTTGTTGGAGTTGATTTGAAGTTGGCTTGTTAGCTCATCGATCTCAGCTCACGAGCTAACAAATTGAATTGGAGTTGGTTTGACTAGACTTGTTAGCTCGTGCGCTTCATTGAGCTCAGCACACGAGCTAACAAGTTAAGTTGGTTTAAATTTGGTTTGTTAGCTCATTGAGCTCAGCTCACAAGCTAATAAAGGAGTAGGAGCTGGTTTGAACTTGGCTTATTAGCTCATCGAACACACTAAAAATGTAAATTAAAAAAAAGGATAAAGAAAAAAAACCGAAGGACGCTAAGTATCAATCACCTTTTTCGAGCGAGCAAGCCGAATGTTCCTAACCTTATTAGGTGAGGAGAGATTACTAACTTCCTTCGCTGCCTTCTTTTGTGCTCCATGGGGACCATATCCATACTGCCTCAGTTGTTTCCTCACAACCTTGTTGTAAATGAAGGTTGATCCCCTCAGCTGAGGTAGCACCAGCCATGTCACAAACATCAATTTTACCGTGTACCATATGGGCATCCTTCAAAGTCAAATGAATAATCATAGTGTTAGTAAATATATGGTATTTTATTAATGTACTAGTAATAAGGAAAATGTACAAACATACCACTCAATTTCTATGTATTTACATATTTAACTCCTCAACTTTAATTTTTACACATGCATAATTTGTATTACAATTTTAAAAAGTTAAAATAGTGAAATTTTTTATGTGATTTAAAAGATTACGGTGGTATAAATACAAAAAGTAAATTTTTGATGTTAGATATGTAAATACATAGGAATTGGATCGTATGTATGTAAATGCCCCTAATAACAATATTTAATAGGGAAAAATATATCTTTTTTCAACACTCGAAAAGCTAACCCAGGAGCCACTTTTTGTTTTTCATTTTCCGATAGGCAAAAAAAGCATTTGATTGAGATAGTTGTATTTAAAAATACTCAAAACATTTTTTAAGTGTTTTGAGTGGTATGAAAAACAAGTTGATTTGATTTTTAAAATAAAAACATATAAAAAATATATCAATCAAATATGTTTTCAAAAATAGAAGACAAAATAAAAATAAAAACAGGAAATAAGAGTAACGCCAAAAGGCCTTAAAGTTTTGAGTTTTTCAAAAAAGTTTGATATATTTTCGACATGATCATTTTATTTTGCTTCAAAACAAAACATAAACAAAATAAAATAAATAAACAAAAACTCAAATAGTCCCTAATTTTTTTTTGCAATGAAAAGGAGTTAACTCCCAATCACATTTTCAACAATATTTTTGAATGCATAATTGTCATTCACCACCCCTACTAGGAGCCAAATGTGGACCTTATTCTACGGTGCATCCTCTTGGTTTGGGCCCCATCATGTTTAACAGCTTTAGCTATAGGGACTTAATTTGGTGATTTTGGAGATTGTCAGCTAGCTTCAAATAGCTGCACGTTCGCCAAAAAGTCATTATCCCAAACCTTCGCTTTTTCAGTACCCTATGTATTAGGCTATTAAAAGTTAAAACCTTATTTTTGATGACCAAAATATGAATATTGCAAGAACAAACCACATAGGCAGTACCGATAAAAAAAATTTATAAACGCTCCCCTTAGACATGCTAATGTAAGAATGATGCTAGAGTACTATAGAAAATAAGAAAATTACATACATAGCACCCAATCCTTATGGATTTACCTATCTCACACCCAAAATTTTATTTTTAAACACAACGCTTCACCTATGGATGAAAAGATGAAATTGGCTATTAAAAGGTGATAATGAGTTCTACTTTTCAAAAAAAATTTGTAATAATGGAAGTTTTGGATGCTATTTATGTAAAATCAATTAGATATGATGGCATGGGGGATGCATATCAAACCAAAAAAGGTCGTTACTATTATTATTATTACTAAGGCAAAGATAACCAAAAGCTAAGCTAATGCAAAATTTAGTAAGCAGCAAGTTATTCAAAATAAACTATGTTATAAGAGAAATTAAATAAATAATCTAAAAGAACAGATATTTTTACAATTAAGAGCATATGATGCAATAGAAGACATACATCTACATTATATTTTCTAAAATTCTAAAGCACTTTCATGTTAAAATTTTAATTTAGTTATTTATTTATTTATTTGTTTGTATTATCTTTATTTTAAATGGGATAATAAGTGTTTTAATGTTTATTTATCTAGATTCAAATTTTAAATTAAATTTATAAATAATATTTCTACAAACAAAATGGGATTAATGTCATTTGGATAATCAATCATTGATAACATTTTAAAAGATTATCTCCCATGTTCCCACAAGGTTTTTGCACTCCACGCTAAAAGTTATAATTATATTCTCCCCTCTTTCTACACAAATTCTCTCTCAATTTCTATTATATATCTAGCCCTAGCATGAACTAATTCTAGCATTAACCTTAAGCCATATGATTCCTTCATAAATTAATAAAGTCTAATAGCACGATTAAGATAATAAATATTATCATTAGGTTCATCAATCTCAAAATTAATAAAATTTTAAGTATTACGCAAATGATTCTTAATCATCTCATGATGACATTGACATAATCATACATTGAATTTGATGATTAAACATTTCATGTGCATCTAGACATGTTTGTTGTTTGGGGAAATTGCATATATACCACCCAATGGTTTTGTAGTTACATATCTAACTTTGTTTTTTTTTTTTATAAGACTCAAATATTTCATATAGCAAAAAAATGCCATCATTTTAACTTTTAAAAAGTGAAATACACCTTTTCATGTCTAGGTAAGGTGGTATGCATCTAAAAATCGAAATTTTGGTGTTAGATATGTAAATACATAGGAAATGAGTGGTATGTATGTAAGTCTCACTTGTGGAAAAACCCAAAATCAATTAGGTCCAAAAACTACACAGAGTTTTAGCTGAGCAGTCTATAATGATGCCTAATTGAAAGATTTTTCTTCTTTACATTCTTCAATTAAGCTCTTGATGCAAACACAAACAAGCAGTCCAACTTCTCTTAATTAGCTCATTTTATATAGCTTATAGAAATTTATAATTTACATTCCCTAATCATTTAGCTCATAAGAAATTTTTGGAAAATGATTTATCCACTTCACATAGAAGATCCTCAAACATTATGTATTATAAGAGAATGTTAATATGGCTTGCAGGGTAAATTTAATAAAATTTAAGGGTTGTATGGTAACAAATATAAGTATGATTTCACTTAAATTTTGCCTAACAAAAAAAGACAATTTTAACTCTAGAATTTAGGGTATGTTTGGGGTAGCTGCAGCTTATTGAATAATCTGTTGATAAGCTAGGTGCGATGGCTATTATAAATTTTTATTTTTTTTAGAAAAACCAGACCGCTGCCAGAAAGCTGTCACCGCACCTAGATAGGTGCGGTGTGAAAACGCTGCTTTCAGCGTTTTCAAAAAGCATAAGCTGTCAAAATGCAGTTTACCCAAACAGTCCAGGTGCGTTTTCAAAACGCAACCGCACTAAATAAGCTACCCCAAACAGATCAATTCAATCCATTCTCGATTTTGCCTTAAATCCTGAATTTATTAAATCACATTTTTGGTAGTATTTAGTAAATCCAAACCTACAGGATTTACTAAAACTGTAAAACCAGCCCTTAGATTGGCTATTGTTTAAATATACAATTGATTGCTGATTAGAAAAGTGAAATAAAATGAGTACTTGATAATTATAATATTAAGATGAATTGGTTGCTAAGATTGAAAAATGAGTAAAATAAAGAGATTAGAGAGAGGCAGTTCCAATAAAAACAAACTCAGAGATTTGGGGAAACTAACGTGGAGTGATTGTAAAAATGACTAAAATACAAAAAACTAAATTTAACACCAAATAAAAAACACTCACAATGCATTCCAAATTTGCTAAAATTCGGAATTGAGCAGCAATTCAACAACCATCCAGCTAAATTGTGAGCAAACGAAGAGATTAGAGGCAAAAATACAAATACCGTGCCAGTAAGTGCTCTGCAACCATCTCAAACAAGGTCAGGAAGGAGTATATGATCCAGTAAGCCAGCCACTGCTCATCATCCACCTTTGATGGATTCTCTATTGCCTCCACCGACGCATATCTGCATCCATCAACCACCGTCATAATCCAAACATCAAAAAGATTTCAAGCAAACGAAATCTTCTTCTTCTTTACGAAATCAGAAAGTATAATTAATTAATTCCACTCACAAAGGGTATAATAGCATAACGCAGGGCCTGCGAATTAGGTGCAAAACCGTAAGCGGTCAGTCCAGAGCAAGTATAAATTAGGGCAAAATAAAGAGGACAAATCGGATTACCCTGCAATCGCGTAGAGTTGCGTAAGGATCGTCCATAGTTGCGCCATGATTCGTATATCTTGCTCCTTGATGAAGAACAAAAGGGGCCGGCGAGTGAAAGGTTTTAGCGAGGAAAAGAGAGGGATAACAAGGATTTGAGAGCATAGCGAGATTTAAAAGGGAGGAAGGTTGAAAGAGGAAGAAGGGAGCATGCATTATATCATCAATGTATGCGCATTAAATGATACAATCAAAATATCTCTCAACATTCCTTTCATGTATGTTGAAATATTAATGTTTAATATATTTTATTTTTGGTGTTCTCAATTACATGTGAATCCAATGACATGAATGTTTACAATATTCTCATTCTCTACTTTCCTTTTTTTTTTTTGTATCATTCATTACATATAAAATGAATCCAATGGAAATATGACAAGATATGTCATGTGCCTCTTCATCTTCTGTTTATTTTAGAAATTCTTTCAATATAAAGTATACCCACGTCATATCATTTCACTTTTAATGAAAACCAATTTTGCCTTGAAATTTGGCCAACTTGCCTAGCCCGAGGCAACCAAAACTCACCACGACTCCACAATGACAACCAATCAAAAGCCTATATTCAAGTCAACAGGTATATTTAGGCCAATCGGATCGTCCGATGACGGGTGATCGATTAAGTTGAATGATATCGAGCGGACGGTCAAGCCTGCCTCGTGTGGGCAACCTAACCCACAAACACCTAGCAAAATCTATTCGTATGGCTAGCTATGAAAGAAAAGACAAAGGGATTTATGAAACCTCACGAACGTGATGTTTGATGTTGTGTTCTATCATGTAGGATGAAGCTCTCCTAGTGATATGAGAGATGGTAGCATTCCATCGAAGTTCCTAACTTCGATGAAGTTTCAGCAAAGCTCTGGCGTTCCTTCCCCATGTTGAGATGAAGCTCTCCTTTGATGTAAAGAGAAGAAGTCTTGCACCTTGCTAGCCATAGTCCTCAGGAAGCTCTCCTCACACACTCAAAGAATGTTGGAGGAAGAAGAAGATAGCTTTTTAATGCAGGGTGGAGAAGAAGGGAAAGAAAAAGAAGAGGAGAGTTGTGAGAAAGAAGTCCTCACTCTCACCTTTCTCTCAATCTCTTCACCTCAAAGCCTTCAAGAAGAAACCCTAGCTCCAAGGAAGAAAAGAGTTCAGCTCTTGGAGGAGGCAAAAGTGTTGAAGGTCGTTGATAGAGGAGAATGAGGTGGAGAGATGGAGCTGAACCAGCCTCCCTATGCAAAATCCCCAAAGTGCCCCTTAATTAAGCCAAAAATGGCGAATCAATGGAACTTAGGACATGCAAAAAAGTGTTAATCCCCCAGCCTTTTCATACCCTCAAGAAGATCTCCTCAAGTCCAAGGAGGGCATGAAATTTTGGTTTCAGGTGGCACACCTCCATAGGGTCGTCATGCCAAAATTTGAAATCTGAGGGGGTTCGTATGGTCACACCAGGCTCGAGTATGATCACGCTACTCTACCCACGTGGTTGGCGTGGTTACACCCACAACATGATGTAATTACTTCATGGGGTCTATCTTGCGGAGTGGTCATGCTGCCTTCAGGTGTAGCTGCGCTGAAGGTAGCCCCATCAACCCTTACGGAGAGGGGTTAGGCGTGGCCATGTCCGATTTGAGCATGCTAACACAAGACCCTTATGGGTCATTTTTCGTCCCGGGAGTCCTTTAAGTGCATTTCAACACGGAAGAGCTCTCCATGACTAGAACAGGTCACATAGGTCTTAGAATGATCGTCATACTTGCCCCTAAAACGAGGAATCATTATGGATCAGTGTTGGTGACTGTCTAGCATGACCAAGACAAGAGTAACTCTAATCTGCAGATGGAGTACATTTGGTAACGTCCCAACAAATTTCTTGAGCTACGGGAGGGCACGCGTCAACGCTGCAAGCTCCCACAATATCACAGGGGCATCCGGTTTCCGTGACATCAAAAATAGATGTCAATGATGACCATGAATCAAAAAAAAATATTTTGTGTGTCTCTAAACAAATAAAAATACATGGTGACAGTGCAAATATGGCTATTATGGAGGATATAGATTCAAAATGTTCTTAAAGTACTATTATCATGATTATAAGAGAAAACTTTATATTTATGAAAGACATATACTAGAGTCAAATCCTTATTAATAAAGTAGAATGAACAAGTATTATTGTTTGTCAAGTTTTTGAAATGAATAATTTATGGGTCCTTTAGATACATAGCATGATACCACTCAATTCTTATCTATTCACATATCCAACTCTAAACTTTACTTTTCAGGATGATGCCAATCAAAATTCATCTCACATAATAAAAAGTCAATTTTTTTACTTTTAAAAAGTGAAATACATCTTATAATTCACTGGTAAGCTGCCATATATGTAAAAGTTTAACTTTTGGTGTAACATATGCAAATATATAAGAATTGAGTAATCTGTATGTAAATCTTACTATTCTTTAGTAAAAGATTAATTCATAAATAATTTAAGGCAATTTCATACCTAAAATCTCAGCTATTTGCAAAATTAATAAAAGCTTATCTCCATTTTATAAATTCTCCCTTATAATATCAAAATTCACAATAAAATCTTAGCCTATAAGTAGGGCTGTCAAAACTGCTCGTTGTTCGCGAACAGCTCGTGTTCGCCTCGTTCGCTAAGTTAGCAAGCCGAACACGAACAAAACAAACTAATATTTATTCGTCTGTGTTCGGCTCGTTTTTGCTCGAAATACTACTAATCAATTATATATATATATATATCTTTGATGAGTAGTATTTTTAAAAAAATTAATTGACTACAAGACTACAAAGATTTATAATCAATTAAAAGTATTAATGAAGAAAATAGAATAAAAATTATTAAATTATATTCAAATGATGTTTTAAATCTTGCCCTAATCCTTAACATCTTATAACTACGTGATTAGGGTTATCAAAACGACTATTTGTTCGTGAAAGACTCGTGTTCGGCTCGCTAAGCAAGCAAACCTAACACGAACACACTTTTTAAGCTCAAAATATAAATAAGCCGAACACGAGCTAAGCCTAGGCTCGCTCATGCTCGGCTCGCCTGCACCCCTACCTATAAGTTTTTACTAATTCACAGGCTAGTACACTGTGATACAATTTAAATATATACGATCGATAATTAAAATATTAATGTGTATTAATTTTATAAATTGATATAATTTTGGTACAATGTATGTAAATTCTCAAATAACTTTACATAATTATCCATTTGTATAATTACAAAACCTTTCCTTTTTATTTCCTGATCTCCTCTCAGGCCCATCGCAACGCCAGAATAGGAAGGATAATATTTTTTTTTCTATTTTTTTCCTTCCGAAGCTCTTATTTTCTTCCCTAAAACCCTTCCACGGTGACTGCCGACTGATCTCTGAATCCCGCCATTTAACATCGGATGCGAGCTGATGGATTACGGGATTCAGAATAGCCATCATCTCTCCGCCGCGCCGCAAACCTTCTTACAGTCACATCCGCATCCACAACCACAGCCACAGCCACAGCCACAGCCACAGTCACAGGCACAGCAGCCGCCTCCTGCGGCTGCCCCAGCCGCTTCCTGCGGCTGCTCATCTCTATTCGGCCTACTACTCCACGGCCAACCCCAATCCTTACCCCAATACGATCGTTAAACAAGAGGATCCATCGCCGTCTGGCCTCGTCTATGCCGACGGTAGCGTCGCCCAGGGTGCAGAGCACTATGCCATACAAAGCGGATATGATGGTCAGACTGTGTCATATGGCGTTTATCAGCAGCAGCAGCACGCGGCATCGTACCCTTATGCACAGGCCTTAGCAGCGGCTTCATTTCAGCAAGCTGTACGCATTTCCCCTAATTCTGGTGAAAATGTATTTTTAAGTATAGTTTTGCGTGGATGGCGTTCCTCTGTCTTTTTCTTTATTGTGGTATTTGCTTTCCCAGCTTAACTGTAATTATTTTGTGTTAAAGATTTTGGCTGAGGACCAGTTTTCGGTGTTATGTTTTGAAGCCTGGGATTGCATTACAAAAATATTTTTCTCCACAAGCAAATTGTTGGTGATTATTTGGGCTTTGATGATAATATATGTGCGATAATTTATCCTAGGTTGAATCTGCTTTGGTCAATTGCTTATTCTTCCTTACCGTAAACATGTTGGACATCTCTTATTCGAGACATGTATAAGTTCAATCAGCTTTCTCAATGAAGATCCCTCTTCAATAAATTCACAATGTTCTTAAACTAATATTTGTAAATCCTTTGTAATTCTTGGACGATCATGCATTATGTACTCAGTGTTTGCTATAACCCTAGATTGCCGGGATTCTCAATGCCAAAGAGAGGCTACGTGACAAAGTGCAGTACAATTGTAGGCCGGTTTGTTAATTCTAAGGGGGTGTTCAGTTGCAAGTAGGATTTAAGTTAAATTAGATTTAGTAAATCCAGTGAATCCAAATTTATCAAGTCCATATTGTTAAATCTGAAATATTGTTTGGTTCAATTAAGACTAAATCTAGTTAAATTCATTTGACTTGTTTGGTATAAATCTCTTTTTGAAGTATTTTCTTCCTAAGCTAAATCCATTAAATTCAACTAATTGTTAGATTTAATAAATTTGAATTTACGTCATAGAATAAAGAAACAAAAAAAAAAAGGATTTAACATGACATCCAATTTATCTAACCCAACAATGGTGTTTGTTTGGATTTACGTTAAATCATTAAGCAGATTCTATTAAAAGTAGCATACCAAACACCCCCTAAATGTTCTAAAAATTAATTTTTTAAATTGTGTTGTACTCACGAACAAAACAAAAACATGGATCTCATAGCAAACTCATGGATGTCAGTATGAATTTTTGAGCAACCCAAGTCAAATCATATTCGGCTTGTTTGGGTCAAGTTGGGCCTTCGTCTTCCTCATAAGTACCTCTCTACCTATGTTCATGATGTCATCAATTTTAAGGATACAACATTCTAGTCCTATCTTTGCCAACAATCTTGCTCATGAAGGATTCAACTACCAATATGGAGCACATAAAAAACCTTAGTTGTTGGCGAAGTCCTCTCATTTGCCTTTGTTAATTCAAAAGCCTTTGGATGTTTTTTGAATTTTTTTGGCATGATGCTTCATTTCATTACAAATTATTTTCTTTCGAAATGCTTATTTTGAAATGTTCAAGCGCTTCTTTGTTTTCGGGTATGTTGGACTCATTTTGTTGGGTTGCGAATGTGGAAGGGCCACCCACTTTTTAGATAAGCTTACTCCTAACATTTTGAGCACTTATTTTTTTATGTCGTTTTTGATTTGATCAACACAACTTTTATGTTCTTATCAGATAACCGAGGAAAGGGATTTAGATTACTAAAAGTTATCTGATCTTTTTTTTTCTTCTAGAAATTGTTGTAGCTATTGTATTTTTTAAAACTTGGTAATTTGACATTATTTTTTTATTGTTGCAGCTTTACCATTTATTCTTGTTCATTGTATCTTTATCTTCTCGATGTATCATTGAAAGCCACTGTCGAGTAAGAGCCCGTTTGGCGCACCTTATTAGTGCGGACGACAATTTGAAAACACCGACCGAGTGTTTGTTTCGCGCGTATGATTGGCGGTCTGAAATCGCTCGATGTCAAGCTTTCAATATTTACGATCGTGCTACGGACCCCACTTTCCGCATTCTATTCTAGCTTATTACTCTCCGACCCCTCGATCCTGCCACCGATCTCATCCCAATCTTCTGCCCTTCTCCTCTGCCCTTCTCATCATCCGATCTCTCGCCTGTGCTCTGATTCTCACTCGTCCCCAATTTTCCCTCGTTCTCCCTCACCCGCACCTCACTTTGGTGCTCTGGCTCTCTTGTAATAGTAATGTGTTTTGTTGATGCATGTGTTGGATCTATGTATTGCAACGGTCTTTGATGGATTCCTTCATGTTTTCACAATAGTGTTCGATTTTTTTTGCCCTTGTGTTGGCTCTATTGGCTCTGGTGATGCCTTGTTGTGTGTTGATTTGTTATTAGTCATAGAAAAGGTATGGATGTATGGGTTTTTGATTGTTTGATGTCATAGAAATAATTTGGATGGCATAAATTTTATAGTTTTGGCGTTAGATAGCCGTCAAATGCATTGCCCACCACGATCATCATCCAAGTTCTGTAATGCGTTTTGTTATGGCATAAATGACCCATTTCATGATAGAAGTATCATAAGATGCATAATTTTTGCTCTGGCTTCTTTAATACAGAAATTTACCAATGGCATTTTCTAATGTCAAAATTTTTGAGTTCATGGTAAGCTCTATTTAGCACCTAGATGTTGAAAGCAAATGTTTGGAATGTCATGGAAAGGAACCTTGTGCTGTCTTTCTTTGTTAATTTTCTGAAGCATGATATTGATCTATGTGCTTTCCCTTGGGTGAATTATCTTACAACATATCTATGACAATTTGGTAATTTCTTTTTTGCATCGTAGGGGTTGGCAAATAGTTATGGATAAGCCATTGCAGTTCGCTCACGATGGTTTGATGATTTTTTATTCAATAAAGTTCTGGTTATTTTTTTGTGCATGCCTTGTGCTTCTCGCATTTTATGTTACTGTTTCTTTTGTTGGGCCAACATTTCGACATATTGCACTGCCGACAGTGATCAGAGTGTGATGGTTTCCCACGAGGACATTGCAGCTGAGGACAAACATCGTCAAAAATTTAAATTAAATATTTTAATATTTTTAATTGTAGTTGTAATTATATTTATATTTATTTTATTTCTTTTGATACTTGCGCATGAGTGAGCACTCTATGTTATTTTGTTGAACTGATCTGTAATGGTTTGGGGCTTCTATTTTATTTATTATTTTGCTAATACAATTATGTCGCAAACAACATTCTAAACAGGGGCAAAATAATCATTTATCCAACAAAAGCTACAAATAAATTGTTTTGAATAAGCTCCCCAAACAACAAGCTAGCTTATTCTAATAATATACAAATTATCAGATTGTCAGGATAATCTACTTATCAGTAGATTATACATAATCTACAGCTGCACCAAACAGACCCTAAGAGCAATCAGAAGCAGTTATTGCCTATTTCATCTTCAACCTCCACATTAGCATAAAATCCATGAATAACTTTTTGGTAGAAACACAAGCACCAATACCACCTATACAAATTTTTAGTCATTATTTAAGGATATTATAGCCCATGAATATCATGCTAATGTTGGTTTAAAGTTAGAATAAAGTTATTCGTATAAAAAGACATCTTTCCTTTTTTTTTTTTTGCGCACATGAACTCACACATAGATGCACATGAACTCACACATAGATGATCTTTTAAACATGAACTGGAAATTGAGCCCAACTATTAGTTTAATTTGAGGTTGAAGCTAACAAGTCACTTTGGTCTACAAATTAAATTTTAGGTTTACATTTTTACTCCGCACCCCACTATATCCTCAACAGCACATTGAATTATAATGACAAATATTATTAGCTAGTGTATCTAAAAGTTAATTCCAGCCATTCTTCAATGAAATGTTTGCTTGGTTAGCATTTATTTTGCCACAAAATTGGGTTTTAACTCTTTTATTAGGAGTTAGTAAAGCCAATAGGGTGTGACTCTTAATCGAAGTTTATATACCAAGGAAGACTTCCCAACCTGAGTCTTAAAAACTTTTTATCAGTTTTAGTTTTAATGTTGAAGATTTGTCATCTAATTGCAGAATTTTTGAGCCTCATATACATCATGATGATATTTCTATAGGCAGGCTTTTTATTTGCCAAAGGCAGATCAAGTGCTTTCCTTTTACTAATTATAGATGAGATTGTTATTCATTTTATAAATTTTAGTTTTATACTTAATTGAAAATATCATTTACTTTGAATTATGCTTCTTTGATTGTATTAACATATCCACACTTTAGAGTAAAGTACTTTAGAATGGAATTATATGGATCATCGGGGATTTACTATGGACACTTGACTTCATGTTATTTTTTGTCATAATTTTGTTAGGTATTCTATGCCATTTTGATTTTATATTTTGTTTTTGATTTGGTTGATGTTATTGTTATTATATTTACAATTTTTTAGTTTATATTGAAGAGTGATTGATCAGAATTACTTAATTTTATTATGTTGTGTTTTAGTGAAATGAAATTATTTCCTATGGACGTGAAGTCCTCAGATTCCATATGCGATGCTTGAAAAAATGCTAGTGGATTGCACAGACATCTATTTATTTATTCTTTTTATTAAAATTAATTTTCTCATCTATTTCTCACATCGCTTATTTTTTTAGAATTTTTTTACTCATATTATTTCCACGTCAAGCCAAAATCTTAATCTTTGAAAGCTTCCTTGCATCACGATTGTCAATTAAAGGTGTAATATCACGTGCCACATATTTTCCTTATTTTCTTTCTTTTATGATCTCACATTACTTGAAATCTTGAATAATGTGGTTTTTAAGGTATGTATGTGAATCCCCTATAACTTATATTGTAGGCTGTTTTTCATGGAAAATCTTTTTTTATTCCAGAGGCAAACCAAAGGTTAAAAAGTTTGGTTATTACCTAACACTCAGGATTTTAAGGATTGAATTTAACTTGAAAGTTGCCATGTTTGTGTGGGACATGTGGTGGGCATATTGCTTGTAATGTACGCCCTATTTGAATTTTGAGTTGTCTCCAATGAAAATATTGTGTGCTCCTATTTGTGTTCACAAAGAAAAATATTGCAAGTTGTTCTCTCAAATTGATCCCAAAATAACTTTTAGCAATAATGGACATTTGGCATCAATGCCTACTCTAATTTCTATTTGAAAATATCTTACATAAAA